GAACCCTGCACGCCAGCCTCTCCCGGGCAGGGCGCTCCCAGGTGTCCCTGCTGGGCCCTCCCCCGGGCGGAGGTGGACGTAGGCTGGGACCTCAGGGCCGCCCACTCTCAGCCTCCCAACCCTCTCTGCCTCAGCGGGCGACAGGCGATGGCTCTCCTGGGCGGAAGAGCTCAGGGAGCGAGCGCCAGCCCTCCTCGGGGCTCCTGGCCAGGCCTCTGGGGACAGCCCAGCCCCCCCGGGGCCCCCAGCTCCCGGCCAATATGTGAAAGCCTTGGTGGCACAGGCCTCAGCTCTTAGGGTGCACGCACCTGGGTTCTCACGACTGCCCTGGGGAGCGTTTCCATCATCTCGATGCGTTCTCTGTAGCCTATGCTCAAGTATCCGCAACCTGTCTGACGTCCTAGTCCAGTCACCTTGTCCTGTGTGCCAGCCTACTCGGTGAAGGGTCTGCACTGCCAAGGAGAAGCCACTCGGAGCCCTGCCCAGGGTACTCCCTGGCCCTGGTCCTGCCAGGCGCAGGCTTGGGCCATGACCCCTCCCTGTACTAAGCACAAGTACTTGCTGCCACCATCACTGCCAAGTGACTAGATGTTTCTGTTTCCTAGCCAGTGGCCCTGCAGGGCTGCCTGGTGTGGTCATCTTCCTGTCCCCATAGTGTAGCTGGGTACTATCAATTACCTGTTCCTCTGTTGCTGCTAAAATATGTCTTGGGTCCCGAGTGTGGGCATCCACCTTGGCCGTCTGACTGCCCCATGGACCCACCCTGGCTGCTCCCTCTGAGTGGGATGGCACAGCTGCCTGTGACAGCACTGTCTTTGCCTAAACTAGGAGCTGCCTCTTCCCTGGTCCTTGCCCTTGTGGTGCCCGTCTCTGGAGCTAAGGGACAGCTGGCACCTCCTTAGTGTGCTGCCCTAGATCCCCTCAGGTGTGGGTAAGTAGCTGAATCCTTATGTGACTTTTTTCCTTTTTTGGTACCGGGGATCGAACTCGGGTCCTTGTGCTTCTGAGGCAGGCGGTGGAATCACTGAACTAAATCCCCGGCCCACTTTTTCTTTCCTTCATCTTATTTATTCAGGTATTTATTGATTTTATTTATTTGTTCATTTGCTCTTTATTAACAACTCCTTTTGTTCACCTGTCCCTCCATGCCAGCTTCTGTGGCCCTCGAGCAGTGCCATCAGCAATATTCAAACCCCCTCCCTTTGTAGGTAGGGGCAGGAGGGGCTAGCTGAGAAGAGAGGAATGGGTTCTCGCTGCAGGTTCTGCTATTAGAGCAGGGGTTAGGGGAACACCCAGGCATCTAAGCCAGGGAAGGGCAGGCCGACCCTTCTGCCTTCTCAGGGACAAGAGTAGTCCCTTCCCCATCCGCTCTGTTCCCTCTCCTTTTCTGCAGCATCAAAGAATGTGGGGGGCCAGGACCCTAAGTCTCCTTTTAGGGGAGAGTTATGGGGTTCTTGGTGTGTGGGAGTTTTATTATTGCTCTCAAATAGCTGGGTTTAAAAAGAAAATAGAGATACTCATTTTGGCTCTTGGTTTGTGTGTGGGAATAAAGGAATTTCTGGGTGCAAGAGGAGATACTGGACCTAGCCAGGCATGAGGGGAGATGTCCTCGAGCCCAGCACTAGGGCTGTGAAAGCAGGGACAAGACAGCCTGCTCCTGTTCCCCAGCTTCCCCCAAAGCTTGCTTTGATGTCCCTGTCGGTCACCACAGAGGGGTGGCCTGGCCTTTCCTGAGGCCATCAGGAGGAGGTGGCACTGTCCCCAGATGACCTGCATTCTGCAGAGATGGGACAGACGACCCCGGGACAGGAATCTGGAGGAAGGGAGTCGACCAGCCAGGCTGAGGTTAAAGGCTCAGGACATCTGAGTGGAGCAGACAGTGGGCCGGGCGGATGCAGAGGGTCAGCGCTGCCTGGCAGCCAGAACATAATCAGACAGACTTTCAGGGGCTGCAAGAAGCGGAGAGGAGGAGGGGCTGGATGGCAGATATGGCCTCAGATGGAGCATGGGGTGGAGACGGGTGGGCTGGGCCCTCTCAGGAGACCCTTAGCACCCGCATGATGTTGGTGTAGCCAGAGCCAGGTCGCCAGCCTGTCACCACAATCACCAGATCGCCAGCGCGGAGGAAGCCACGGAGCTTTCCTGGGGGAGGGGATGACGGTCAGTCCCTGAGGGATGCGGAGCAGCCTGTGGCGGGGCTGTCACGCTGCCCACCTCAAGGCCGCCCTGAGGGACCTGAGGAGCCTGAGGGGAGTGGGCAGTGCTGAGGGAGCACAGCCACTGGGGCGTGGATCTCACTAAGGAGCAAGCCTGTCTCTGCTGACGGGAGGAGATCTGGTGCTATTTGGCGTTCCTTGTAAATCAGATCCCAGCTCCAGATGTTACAGCTCCTCCCCTGGGTGCAGGCAGCGGCTGGGCTTCACTCTGCTCTTCCCTCACAGCCCAGCCTAACCTCCCCGCTATCTGTTACCTGGGCATGGAGGAGACAGGTGAGGCCTGCATGGCTGTGGAAGCTGGTCTGGGGTCCTGCGAGTGCCGGGGAGGGCAGGGAGGGGTCTCGGGAGCTCACCACTTTCAATGCCAAACTGGACCCGGCGATCCACATCGTCTGCCCAGATGGCCTCTGGAGCCTCACGGTAGAGCACAGGAAAGACCCCCCGGCTCAGGTGGATCTGGCGTGCGGCCTGGGCAGAGCGGGTGACAGCGATGACTACTGCCCGAGGTCGGTACCGAGACAGAAGCTGGGCTGAGCTGGAGGAGGCAGAGAAAGTCAGCCCGGAGCAGCAAAGGGTGTTGGACCAGTAAACAAGGTGTCACCAACAAGCTGTGTGGCCCTGAGTAGTTACACTTCTCTGGGCCTTAGCTCCCCGCTGTGAGACCACTGTAAGAATACTTTCCCTTCATCCACACAAGGAAGACGGGAGAGAATAAAGGTACAACAAATGAGATAACAAAAACTCTAAAAAACGTAAAATGCCAGGCATGGTGGTGCATGTCTGGCATCCCAGCACTCAGGAGGCTGAGGCAGGAGGAGTTTGAGGCCAACCTTGCCTACATGGTGAGTTTCAAGACCATCTTGAACTTCATAGCAAAGCCCTGTCTCAAAAAAAAAATTGTAGAGAATGTATATTATATAGCACTTAATTTCTTTCTTACTTTTTGATATGGGGGGGCGTTGAACTCAGGACCTTGTGCTTGCCGGGCTGGTGTGGTGCCACTGCACCACATCCCCAGTCCTAGCACTTGATTTCTACACAGACCTTACTGTCTCATTAATTCTCAGAACCCCAGGAGGAGGAGCACAGGGCTAACTCACAGGCCCGAGAAGACAGCAGGCTTGCAGAGCCGATGAATTACTCAAGGTCTAGCTGCTGAGTTTTATGGCAAAGCCTGCACTCAGAACTGCTGGGCCCCTAAGCATCACCTCCAGCCTCCGTGGGATCCCCCAGGCCTGGAGCCAGTGTGCCCAGCGACGCCACCTGCCCTGCAGCCCATGGGCATGAGTCCTGGTGTCTGCAAGACCTGCCATGCAGCCTCCTCTCAGAGCCACCTCTCTTCTTGCCCTAGGGCACTGTTCTTCATCCCCTGCGGATCAGCCCACTCCCGGGCTGTGCCTTCGACTGCCCAGCGCCTGAGTGGCCTTCCCGCGTCTTCCTCACCGGCCAGAGGTGGTCAGTACGATGATGGCGGCAGCGCAGCACTTGAAGGCAGCCTCTACAGCACCAATGGCAGTGACCTCTGTGGGGTCGCGGCTCAGGGGTGCCGCCCGGCGTAACTCTTCAAACAGCTGCCGATGGTACACGGCGGCCTCTGCCTCCCGAGCGATCTGCAGGCAGCAGGAGGTCAGGCTGGGCGGGAACGCGGCCGCCGGGGTCCCTGCCTGCTTGTGCTTCTCTTAAGCACCTACCGCGTGCTGCATCTTCACGGCCTCCACTGGGAAACTGCCCTTGGCCGTCTCCCCTGACAACATGATGCAGTCGGCCCCGTCCAGCACCGCGTTGGCCACGTCACTGGTCTCCGCCCGGGTCGGCCGGGACTTGGTGATCATGCTCTCCAGCATCTGGGGATGCACAGAGTCCGCTGGGAGGCGGCCCTGCTGCTTCCCTGACACCCCTAACTTGCTAGGATTAGAGTCACAAGCTATGTGACCTAGGCAGTCGCCTCATCTAAGAATGGGGGTCACGGCAGTATTTCCACTAACTGCATTGTTTGGGGTCAAGCACCAGATGGCAGAGTGTGCTGTGGACCCAAGGCGTGGGTGTCCCAAGAAGCTCGGCATCCCCCCGGAGGGCTTGCTCCAGACCTGTGTGGCACAGACCACGGGCTTGCCCGCCAAGTTGCAGCGCCCGATCATCATCTTCTGAGCCAGGAAGACCTTCTCGGCTGGGATCTCGATGCCCAGGTCCCCTCGTGCCACCATGATGCCGTCACTCACCTCCAGGATTTCATCAAACCTGGGCAGTTGGAGGAATCAGAGCTGGGCACACCACGGTGGGTGGGCAGGTGGGTGGGACAGTGGAAGCCTTACCTCTTCACGCCTTCATGATTCTCAATTTTGCTGATGACTTTGATGCCCTGTCCTTGTGGCCCCAGGGCAGCTCGCACAGCAGCCACGTCGCTGGCTTTCCGCACAAAGGAAGCGAAGATGATGTCCACCCCATGCTCCACCCCGAAGCGCAGGTCCTTGGCATCTTGCTCGGACAGGCTAGGGAGGTCCACCTCGGTGCCTGGCAAGTTCACGCCCTTCCTGCTGCCTAGGACACCGCCACTCTCCACTTCTGTCAGCAGCCCCTCTGGGCCTGGGGGCGAGGAGAGAGCAAGTTTCCGTCAGCGGAGGGGTACAGCAATGGGGGGGCAGAGGGACGGGGGGGTCGGTGTGGTCCCAGATGCTGGACCCGCGCTCTCTGCCCGTGTCCCGGGTTCCACACGCAGTGGGCACCAGGTGGAAGTCTGCGCGAGGCGACCCCCTCAGGAGGTCGGTCCATCCCAGGGCGAGGATGGGGCTCTGCGTGCGGGGACTCCGGACAGGGGGACCAGGTGGGGACAGGACAGGACGGGACGCCGAGGGCGGAGGGACCTGCCCAGCGCCTGGCTGTGTGTGGTCAGGGAGGTAGGGGCCGCACCAGTTTTTCGGACCACAAGGGAGATGAGTCCGTCGTCAATGTAGATGCGGCCCCCCACCGGCACGACCCGGGTGATGTTGGAGTAGTCCACCCACACGGTGTTCGCGCTCCCCCGAGTCCGGAAGGCAGAGTCCACAGTCACCAGCACCTGGGTGCCCTTCACAATCTCCACTTCCGTCTCAGGGCCCTGGGGGCGGAGCCAGAGGTGTGAGCTCCGCCCTCCCCGCCCCTATCGTCGACCCCGCCCGCCAATCACCGGGCCCCGCCCCCAGGCCTCACCCCGTGAAGGATCCCAGTGCGGATCTCAGGCCCCTTAGTGTCCAAAGCGATGCCCACAGGCCTGTAGCTGAGCTGGGAGGTCGCGAAGCTCTCCGCTGCCTCCCGGATGTTAGCGATGGACGCGGCGTGGTACTGGAGGAGGAGCAGGCAGGATTTCAGGGGAAGGTGGCGAGGACCTGGGCGTCCCGGGCCGCGCTCCCTTCGTCCGCACCTCGTGGGAGCCGTGGGAGAAGTTGAGTCGGGCGATGTTCATCCCGGCCTTGATCATCTCCTTAAGGCGCTCGACCGAGCGAGATGCCGGCCCTGGAACCAGAGACCCCACTCAGATGGTTTCCCCCACACCTGAGGGATGACCAACCCATCGGCCTCAGAGTAGAGCGATCTCTGCCTGGCTCTGTCTTCAAGGCGTTCATTCCGTGCTGGAGACCGGCCTTTCCCACGGAGCTATGTCCCCGGCCCTTTTTTATTTTTCTTTCGAGTCAGGGTCGCTAAGTCACTGTAGCCAGGCTGGGCTTGAACTCCAGGTCTTCCTGTCTGCGCCCCCCACGTGCCTCCACGCTCCCAGGCGCTTCAGCCTTGGCACGTCCACTCGGAAGAAACCCAGGTGACTTTCCAACGGCCTGGGACGCCGACTTCCGGTGCCTCTCCTCACCCATCCCCGCCCCTCTGTCCAGTCCTCCTTAGGAAACCTGCGGGCTCCACCCTCAAGTTATCTTCAGAGTCTGACCACCGCCACCTCTGGGCCGAGCCGGAAGGGCTGCGGGAGAAGCTTCTGGCCTTGGTCTCACTCCACCCACCTGACCCATTTCAGTCCAGGGGCCCAGCGGTTCTGTTAAAACTGCCAGGCGTGGTGGCGCGTGCCTGTGATCCCAGGACTCACTCGGGAGGTTGAGTCAGGAGAATCCCTGCGAGTTCGAGGCCAACCTGGGCTACACAGTGAGACTGTCTAAAAAAAAAAACCCTAGAAAACCATATGAAGCTGGTCGCTGATGTTCACTGGCTCAGGACCACGCAGCCTCCACACGTGGAGGAAAGGCCTCGGTCTCGTCCCATCAGCTGCGCTTGCCTTTCATGCTTCCTAGTTACCTCAGCTTCCTAAGGGCTTTGCACGGGTGCTGCTGTCTCCCCAGCCGTCTTTGGGCTGAGTCTCCTTGTCCTCGGACTGGCCGCCCTGACTTCCCCGTTTAGGGCTGCAACCCGCCTCCCATCTCAAATCCCTGACACCCCTTACCACCCTCTACATTTCTCTTTTTTCCCCACAGTATTTATTAGTCTGTAATGCACTACTTATATTGCAGTAATTTTTTTATTTGTTGTTCTATCCAAGCGAAGCTGTCAGTTCCTCAAGGGAGCTGTTGTCTGTTTTCTTCCCTGATCTCACCCCCTCCAGCTGTCCTGGGCCCCTAGCCTCATCTACTACATACTCAGCAAATATTTGTTGAATGGTGGAAGTAATGCTACATGCTGTAGTAAGGCTGAGGCAGGAGGATCGCTGCAAGTTCGAGGCCAGCCTGGGCTACATAGTGAGTTCAAGGCCAATCTGAACTACACAGCAAGATCTTGTCTCAAAAAAACAAGCCAACAAAATTCCCAGTACCACAAGAAAAAAAATCTGTTGAATGAATAACTGTGGAATGCAGCACCGTGTCACAGGGCAGCAAGCTGAGGCGGTGCCGGGAAGGCCTTACCGATGGTGGCAATGATGCTGGTGCTGCGAGCAGCCACTGGCTCGGAGTCGATGTCCAGCAGGCACAGGTGCTCCAGGAAGGTGTCAGCCATGGCTGCCGGCAGCTGCTGCTGCTGGAAGAAGGCGGTGCCCAGCTCCTGGGTTAGCTGGGCCACACTGGCGCGCCGCAGGTACCCCGCCGGCCCTGCGATGGAAGGGGTTCAGGGGCTGCCTCTAGGCCCCACACACCCGCCCTTTCCACTGGGCATTGTGCGCACAGGACCTGGTGTGGTCCCAAGGATCTTAGACAGCAAGTACTGTGAAGGCTCTACATGCCCCACTTGACCATTGGGAACAAGGGGCTGGGAGCCGTGAAACCACCCAAGATCGTGCAGTTTCTAGGAAATGAGGATGCGACTCCCATCTAGGACTCACCAGCTCTAGGATGAAATTCCACTCACCCAGCCACACCTAACTTCCGGCCCCAGCTCCCCCACCCATATTCACAGTGGCACCTCATTATCCACGCCAGAATCACCCAATTCCCTCTTCCAAGGTCCCTGTTCACATCTTGGCAACCCGCTCCCCCTCTTCCACAGCCCACTAGCACTGCCTCAGGCCCAGGGCTCCTGCTTGGTCCAGGGAAGCCATTTCCAGCCGCACCTTCCATGCCTCTGCTCACTGAGCCGGTCTCTGTGGGTTTGCTTCCCACTGTGTGTGAGCCCAGAGGCCTGGGGCTGGGCTGCGTTGGGCAGTGACACTGGTTAAAGTGTCACTAGTGTCTCTCAAGCCTGTATGCCAAAGGCCAGAGTCCACACAGCATGGGGTGCCCCATGGCCTCCCACCGGCCCAGACTGCGCTCTCAGGGACACAGTTCACCCTAATCCTCCACCCCACTCCTGATTTCCAAGCTTACTTCCTCCTCCATCTCCTCTCACCTCCGGGAGCACCGTTGAGGATGGACTTGGCGAAGTCTCTTTGGGACCGCGGGATCCGTGAGCAAAGCTGCTGGGACAGAACGTTTGGAGTTGACATGGTTCCAAAACGTGGCCCTGGGAGGAGAAAATGACAAAACTGCTGGTCTTATCTAGAGGAGCCAGAGGGTGGTGGAGGGCACACCCGTTGCGAGGCCTGGTCCCTAGCCCCTCCCCAGACTCTGTCGCTGCCTCTGCCCTTCCCCTAATCCCACCCATTTTTCTTGATCAATTTCAATCCATTCACACATCAACCTGAATAGAGATTCTTTTTAATGATCCCTTTTCTTTCTACTTTACTGTAGTGAATCCTAGATAAATCCAGGAAGCGGGACTTCTTCAGAGCAGGGACTAAGTCTGAAGAAATAGGAAGAGGAGCCTTTGGATAGTGTGGTGGGTGAATTGTCCCTCTGTTTTCCCACTAGTTTCTTCCATCCTGACTAAGAGATACAGACACTGTCTGTGACCTGGGCAGTGACTTCCCAGGATGAGGCCTTAAAGCTTCCCAGGTGCTGAGAAACCCCAGGCTGCTGCTGATCTTGGTGTCACTAAGCACCCAGGAGCTAGCCCCGCCCCAGGGAGATCCCTTCAGCCCCCTCCCCTCCCAGGTAGAGCATTCTTGGTTTTGCCTGCACTTGGAGGATATAGTGCGGCTCCCTCATAAATTTCCCCAATCAGTGCTTTGGGACCCCTCACCCTAGCACTTAGTGCTTCTTTCCTGGAACCCTGACAGGCCCCATGTTGGGTGGTGTGGGTGGTCCCTGCTGCTGCTGTTGTTCGCTCGTGGGTTTGGCTAGAGGAGGTGACACAGCCATCCTCACCATCAGCATCACACTGTCTGCCATTCGCTGCTCACTGCTGGACAGTATTTACTAAGCACCTTCTCTGTGACAGGCCCTGAGAAAAGAGACCTGAGCGAAATAGACAGGGCCTAGGCAGACCCAGTGACACACTCCTACAGCCTATAGTCCTAGCTACTGGGGGTGGGGGGCTGAGGCAGGATTGCAAATTTGAGGCCAGCCTGGGCAATTTAGTGAAACCCTGTCTCAAAACAAAAAAGTAAAAGTCCCGGGAATATAGCTCAGCACTTCCTAGGTTCAGTCTTTAGTATTGCAAAAACCAAGCTGAGCTACACAAAAAAAAATTCCATAGGGTCTTTCCCACCCTTGAAGATCATAGTGCAGACAGACTGTAACAAAGTATCCAGGGAATAAATGTATCACTGCTCTTTGTAAGAGCATTTATTATTATTATTTATTTTATTTTTTTGTTGGTTTTTTGAGACAGGGTCTCACTATGTAGTTGAGACTGATCTGGATCTCACTATGTAGCCCAGGCTGGTCTCGAACTCACAGTGATCCTCCTGCCTCAGCCTCCCGAGTACTAGGATTACGGGCATGTGCCACCACGCCTGGCTTGTATGTGCTATTAAAGCAAGGACCATGGTGCTGGGATAGACTGGCCAGTGGGGAGAGGAGAGGAATGTCTTAAATTAAATTATAAACCAGGTGTGGTGGCACAGTCTTGTAATCCCAGCACTTGGGAGGCTGAGGCAGGAGGATCACTGTGAGTTTGAGACCAGCCTGGACTACATAATGAGTTCCAGGTAAGTCTCAACTACATAGTAAGACCCTGTCTCAAAAACAACCCCTCCCCCCCAAAAAAACAAAAAAACAAAAGCTAAATTATAGCCTAATGTGTGATGAATGCCTGCAATTGCAGCACTTGGGAGGCTGAGGCAGGTGAATTGCTGCGTTAAGAGCCAGGCTTGGGTACAAAGTAAACTCAAGGCCTGCTGAACTACATAGCAGGTCTTGTTTAAAAAAAAAAAAAATGAAATTAAGTTAAATTATAGTACTGAAGATTGAAACAAAGGCCATTTTTTTTTTTTTTTTTTTTTTTTTTGATACCAGAGATCAAACTGGGGGCCTTTGCACTTGTGAGGCAAGCGGCGGCACCACTGATCTAAATCCCTGGCCCGAACGCCATTTTTAATTTTAAAAAAAAGTTTTTCCAGTGCCAGGGATCACACTCAGGACCTTGCTCTTATTAGGCAGGCACAGTACCACTGAGCTACATCCCCAGCCCCCCCCCTTTTTTTGAGAAAGGTGTCATTAAGTCTCTAAGCTGTCCCATCTGGGCTTGCTTTTGGGATTCAAGAGTCTTGGGATCACAGGCATGTGCCACCATGCTTGGCTGGGAATGCGTTTTTGATGAGGTGGGTGGGCAGTGTCTTCTATGAGCACGGACATGTATGCCAGGGCTCTGAGGAAGCGGGGGAGAGCGCCCAGAGTGGAGGGCAGGGTATGGTGAGCGGTGGGATAGAGACCCAGGCAGGGCCTCGTACCCTAGCAAGGATGTGACCCACCTGGCTGGCAGGTGAAGAGCCCAGAGCAGGTGTGCGAGATGCCCCAGCACCCAGCAGTTCTGCCTGGAGGTGAGGGGGGCACACAGTGCAGGCAGGTGAGGGCAGGGGAGGCTTTGAGATAAACTGGTTCTGGTTAATCATTAAAATGCAGACAGGTATTGGATCTGCTCACCGAATGTCTACTGCATGCTCACTGTCTGCTTTTATCATGAGAATCTAGGAGGAGAGGAGGGCGAAGGGGCAGGGCAGAGGGCACAGAGGAGGAACTACAGGGGTGTCTCTCTTCTCCAGCTGCCTCTGCTGAGCCATTCTCTACCCTCCTCAGCTCTGCTCTGGGGCTGGAAGCTTTCAGATGCTTTGCCCATGGCTTTTGCAGGGTTTGGCAGCAGCACCCATGGTAGCCAAGGTGGACTGATAGCTAGGTTGGGTGCATAACCCCACGGACCCCAGGGTTGCCATCAGCATGGCTTCTACCAGGGAACCCTCTGCAGAGTCCAGGTCCATTCCCTCCCTGTGTCCAGGTTAAGGGGTAGTGAGCCCACTGTGACCAGGTCTGGGGTGAGGGTTACCAACACCCTGTGGCCCAACGTGTGGCATATAATCCTGTTAAGGAACACTCCTCATAGTTTGAGAGACTCCTCCATTTCCTCAAAGCACCTTGCCTGAAACATTTGTCTAAGACTAAAAATCTAACTCAGTTCCAGGTGTGGTAGCACACAACTGTGATCTCAGTACTCAGGAGTCTGAGGCGGGAGGATCAAAAGTTCAAGGCCAGCCTGCGTTACAGTCCCCAGTACCATGGTGTAATATTGTGTGCGTGTGTGTGTGTGTGTGTGTGTGTGTGTGTGTGTGTGTGGTGAAGCTGAGATTCAGACCTAGGGAGTGCAGTTTCAGAGCACATGTTGTCACCACTTGGCTCCATTCTGTCCTCAGGGCTGTCTCAGTGGAGGGGCAGGGAAGTGTCTCAGAGGTGCAAAAGAACAGGTCAGACAGATCCTGGCTCATGCAGCGCCCAGTCCCCTTTGGCTGGATGTGGTGGTACACACCTGTAATCCCAGCACTCAAGAGAGGCTGAGGTAGGACAATTGCTGTGATTTTTTTTTTGTTTTGTTTTTTTTTTGTTTTTTGAGACGGTCTCACTATGTAGTTGAGTCAGTCACTGTGAGTTTGAGGCTAGAGCCTGGGCCTGACCCTGTCAAAAAAGAAAAAAAAAAAGGAGTGGGAGGGCTGGAGATTTGGCTCAGGGGTTTCGCACCTACCTCAAAAGCACAGGGGCCTGAATATGATCCCTGGGTACCCCCCCAATGTTAGACAGTAGCAAGGACTTCCTTAGGCAAACTGAGCAGAGTCCTAGGCTGTCAGTGTATAGGAGACAGCAATTAAAGATAGACAAGAGGGGTCACAGTGAGAATGTGGTGGACTTTGAGGATGGGACTCACCTCCTCCTTGGAGACCCAGGGAGGGACATGGCCCCTAAGGTGGGCCTGGGGATTGTGAACTGACTGGGGACCCTTTGGCAGGTCACAGGTTCCAGAGACCCCAGCCCCATGTGATTAATGGAGGGGCAGTGGCACCACAAAGCCGCCCTCACCCTGTGCAGACAAGGGACAGGAGCACTGGATTGCTCTCAGGAAGAGGGTGGTGGCCCTGGGTTGGCAAGTGGACACAGACAGATGGCTGCCACAGGACTAGGCACTTTCTTTTCTTCTTTTTTTTGAAATAAGTTCTATGTAGTTCATGCTGGCCTTGAACTCACTATGTCACCTAGGTTGGCCTTAAACTTGCAGGGATCCTCCTGCCTGAGACTCCCAAGTGATGGGATTATAGGCCCAGCCCTGGACCAGGCACTTTTTGCGGGGGGATTACTGGGGATTGAACTCCAGACCTTGCACTTGCCAGGCAGGCAGTGGAACCACTGAGCTAAATCCCTGGCCCCGAACCAGGCACTCTTGAGCAAGAGACCGTGGGTGAGAAAACTGGGAGAACAAGAGGCCCGTGGACTCTAAGCGGAGCAGGTGCATCTGGGATTGCAGGTGAGCGGGCACCACACCCAGCCTTGGTGGTTTTAAGGAATGAGGAATTGTGCCCAGGACACCGGGCGGCCGGGGGGAGAGATTTAGCACTGAGAGGAGGGAGGAGGCGGGGTGGCTTCACAGAGCTAACACCCGAGGCTGCCAACGCCACACACAGCCACACGCACTGCCAGTCGGACCGGGCACAGCCCAGGGCTTGTGCAGAGGCTCCGGGGTTCCATGGCACACCGCGCCAAGGCCGGCCGCTCTCTCTGCTGACCGGGAACCCCGGCCTGCCTGCAGGGGCGCCCGAGCGCCACAGGCCCTGGTGAGCGCTCTCCCCGCCCGAAAGTGGGTTTCGTTGCCTGCAGTCTGAGATAAAGAACCTTGCGGGAAGATAGAGGCGCTGGAGCCTGGGAGCGCCGTCCCGGACAGCACTGAGTCCCTGCCGTCTGCACGTGCGCCACCCCTACCCTTGACTGCGGGACTGAACGGAGAGCGAGGGTGTGGCTCTGTGCCTACAGAAGTCCTCCAAATGTGTCTCTGTGAGCAGAGCTTCTCCTCCCACTGCGCCTCCGGGTGCTTGGGGCCCACAATACCCACGGCACGGTACAACACACAGCAGTCTGGAGTGCTTTCCTCTCCCCTTGGCAGCAATCTGTCTTAGGCTACTTCATCTCCTTCCTTCCTCTTGAGAGGACCCGGTTGTCCTCACAATCTGTGTCTTGGACTCCCTGAAACCCATCCACAGAAGCCTCACACACACACGTGAGGACACTGGCAGAGAGGTAGGGCCGGCCGGCCTGGGGTGCTGCTTCACTGTGATCAGCTGTGCATAAGACAAAACTGATCGCTTTGAGATGCACAGCTCAGGGATCTCAGGTGCATTCCCAGTGTTGCGCAACCATTATCATTGCCAACTCCCCAAACTTTTCATCAGCTCAAACAAATTCTGCGTCTGGCGTGGTAGTGAACACCTGAAACCCCAGTTCTCTGGGAGGCTACTGCAGGAGGATCACAAGTTTGGTATCAGCCTTAGTGAGACCCTGTCTCAACATAAATAAATCAAAAGGACTGGAGATGTACTTCAGTGTGAAGGCCGTGTCCAATGCCCAGTACACAAAGGGGAGACATACAAAACCAGAAACCAGAAAACAATAATAATTTTTTTTGGATGGAGCCCAGGGACTTTGTACTAAGTTACATGATCAGCCCCACCCCTCTAAAAATTATTTTTGAGAATCAGGCACGGAGGGGCGTGACTACAATCCTCGGACTCGGGGCTGTGGCAAGAGAATTGCAAATTTGGGGCCAGCCTAGGCTACATGGGCGAGTTCAAGACTAGTGTGGAAGATAGTGAGACCTTGTCTTAAGAAAGAAAGAGGGCTGGGGATTTAGGTCAGTGGCACTGCATCTGCCTTACAAGCGCAAGGTCCTGAGTTTTATCCCCAGTACCAAAAAGGAAAGCAAGAAAGAAAGAAAAAAAGAAAGAAAGAAAAAAGAGGGCAAGCTGGGGATGGAGTTCAGGCGTAGAGTGCTTGGCTGGCAGGGGTGAGGCCTTGGGTTCCATTCCCAGGAACACCTCTCCTTCTACAAGGCACACCCCACGAGGTCACGTGGATGCTCAGTGCCCGCGGACGCTGCCTTCACAGAGTAAACGCCTGACGCCCACAGTGGCCCGTGGACCCTGCTATTTCTCAATCCTCCCCTCTACTATCTTCCCTTCAGTCCAGCCCCACTGGTCTCCTTGATGTTTTCCAGATAAGAAACTTAATCCTGCCTCAGTAGAGGGCAGTGTTCCTCTTTTATAGCACGGATTTGTTTTCCCGATATCATTTTGTCAGGGAAGCCTTCTCTGATCATCCCTCCCCCACACCCACAGCAAGGGATGGACTCGGGACCTTGCGCTTTCTAGGCAGGTGCGGCACCACTGAGCTAAATCTCGGGGGCCTGCTTACTTTGTTTTGTGAGACAGGCTCTCACTGTGTAGCCCAGGCTGGCCTGCACCGCCACGAATAACTGTTACTACTTTTTTCTTTTTTGTGTGTCTGGATCACACTCAGGACCTTGGGCTTTCGAAGCAGGTGGTGGCACCCTTGAGCTATATCCTTGGCCCTGCTATCACTCTTATTTTATACTGTGGTCCTCCACTCTTTCATCATTTACACTTGTTAAACATGTTCTTCACCTCCAGTGCAGGATGTTAGATCGCTAGAAGCACTAGAGCACAGATGTTGCTTTTGTCCGCTTCTGTATTCTTAGTACGTAGTGGACATTCTTTCTCACTCTCCCTCCCCACATGGTTTCACTCCAGTGCTACGCGGGACTCACGGCGATCCATCTAGCTCAGCTGAGTGCTGGGATTACAGGCTTGCACCCGGCAGTAAATACTTTTTGCACGGTGAATGAATGGTGAGGAAGCCGAGCTCCAGATATCTTGCGCTACTATCTTCATTCAACAGATGAGGAAAGCCAGTTTCAGGAGTCAGCGGAGGATCCCGGTTTTTACATGATTTTTTTCCAAGTCAGATAAGTGGTAAAGTTAGTTCTGCTGGGGTTGTACTAACATGATAACCAGCTGTACGCGAAGAGAATGAAAACTGAAACACAGAATCAGGGTGACAGACAGACTGAGAGTTCCCTGGCCTCGTTTGTTTTCGACCCTTGGCCTCAAGCCCCTCATCACCTACACCGGAGGCGTGCGTCTCCTGGCAAGTCTCCCGGCGAACAGCCCTCCCATTGGTCGTCCGTCACAGGCCCATGCTCACACGAGGGTAAGTAGCCAATCACCGCTCTTGGTCTCCGCAACGCCGGCCGCGCTAGCCCGTGTCGTCCCGCCCTCCTCCAGGGAACGCCGGGAGTTGTAGTCTAGTGGTCCATATGCCTGCCGCCAGCTAGGGGGACCGAGAACTACCCGACCCAGAGGGCCCGGCGTCGAGCGCTATCGCTTTTTAGGCTTATGCAGCCAACAACCTGGATCGAGCCGGAACAGCATCTAGAACAGGTGAGCACGGTGGCGCGCTGGGGCTGGAGGCAGAGGTCCCAGACCCCCTCATTTCCGGCAGTAATGCGCTGCGCGGAGTCCAGCCTGTGGACAGCCGGGCCTGTTCTTTTAGGAGTTGGTGGGTCAGAGTGGCCGGCCCCTCTGTGCTTGAGGAAACTTCCCAACTGTGCCCACGCACTTTCCTGAAGTCCCGAAGATGCCCGGTCCCCCAATTAACTCCAGCAGCTAGCCCTCTCCGCCCGCCCGAGCGGTTTGCGGCTCACCCGCGGAGGCCCCGCTCTCCCGTGAGGCCCGGGACGCCCTTGCCGGTGTCCGCAGCACGCATGGGTTCCAGCCCTTATTGTCCACTCCCCGGGGCGTAGCTCAGAGCCTGAGTGCCCCTCTTCGCTGCCGGCGAGGTAGACCTGGGTTCTAGGTTTGTGTCTGCCTCTGTCTGGCTGTTTATCTCCCGGAGCCTCCGTTTGGCTTCTGTACAATGGATGATTTGAAGCCTTCCCCACCCCTTATCCCTTCCCCCACCGCCGTGTGCACGGAAGTCTTGAAGGCATTCAGTTTTGGTTCTCTCATTTTAATTGAAGTTCTGTTGGATCTCAGTCACCCAAACATGTTTTTTTGTCCCCTACATATTTTTTTGCTGTAATTATACCGAAATATTGACTACTAGAGGGCGGGAGATTCTGGGCCAGGAGACAGAAGTTTGGTGTGGGGGCGATCCAGGTGTTGTCCCCGTGCATCTGCCTTCGGTACTTGCTCCTGCAGGGAGTGCTCGTGCCCCTTCCCTATGCCACCCTCACGATGCCCCTGTCCCGCTTGCTGAGATCTGTGGGGGTCTTCCTGCTGCCCGCCCCCTGCTGGGCACCCAGGGAGAGGTGGCTGGGTTCCCTACGGAGGCCCTCCCTGGTGCACAAGTGCCCAGTCCTGGGGGCCTGGCACAGTGCCCGCTGCTGGTGCCAAGTGTGGACCGAGGAGCCTCGGTGAGTGTGGTTGGGAGGGGCCTCGGGGAGGGGAGCACCTGATCAGGTTTCTCACTAGTTCTTCCTTTTTGCAGAGCACTTTGCTCCTCTCTCAGGATGAATGGAGACCAGAAATTGGATGTTTATGCTCAAGAAAAGCAGAATTTCATCCAGCACTTCTCTCAGATTGTCAGGGTGCTGACTGCAGATGACCCAGAGCACCCAGAGATTGGAGATGTCCTTGCCCGGCTCAAGGAGGTGAGGGATTCGTGACTCGAGGAGGTGCAATTTTGTCACTGCATGTGGGTGAGGTTGAGTGGATGTGGGATGAGGTCTTCACTCGAGTTACTTGGGTGCCTCTGGAGTGGGGGCCTGGGCGGTTAGATGTGTGCAGCCCATCGCCCTGGACCATCCATACAGCTTTCCTGGGATTGAAGTCCTCGGACGTGTTCGATCTTTGATTCTGTGCCTTGAAATCTTAATGATGCTCCTCTGGCACAGAGCTGGGGGAAGGTCGGGTCTGAGTGTCTCCCCAGAGATCCCAGGGAAGGTTAACGTGTTGTCAGGGACCCTTTTCCAGGTAGGAAGGACTGCTGTCACACTTACGTTCTTCTATATATACATTTATTTTGTACCGGGGCTCAAACTCGGGACCTTCCGCTTGGGAGGCAGGCAGCGGAACCACTGAGCTAAATCCCTGGCCCACATTCTATTTTTTCTCCCTTTTATTTTCATGAAACATCTAGTAAAGTGTTTTTATGAATGGGGTTTCTCATCTGTCTGAAGGGAACCAAGGCAAGGGGTGGGGACCTTGTCTGTACTGGGATAAGGACTGAGAGGAGCACCTTCCGTCTTCATCGCGGGCAGCAGGGCAGCAGAGGGAGGAGCCATCGGAGGAGGGGAGACGGCCCCCCAGCCTACCTCTCCTCTGCCCGACTGCTGAGGAACCTTGTCTTTAATGCAGGTGTTTCAGGCAAATGGGATGAGCTGTGGGGAGGAGGAGTAGTTGGGAAGGAGGGATGGATGGGGTGTGAAGAGGAAGCGTGGGGGTGTGATCAGGAGGGGAGCCTCAGCGAGTCAGCTGCTATCCCCGAGTGCTGGGCTTGGAGGAGAATTTAGTCCGCAGGAGCCTCTAAACCTACTGGGGTGGAGAATGCAGAGTGCACGGTTAGGCACTGGGCCCTTGGCAACTCTTCCGGCTGTGCTGCAGGATGCCGCAGGAGAGAGAGAAGCAGTCCTAAGGCTCCCTGGGGGTGGGGTTTGGGCCAGGGAAGATGAGTTTAGGGGTTGGAAAGAAAACTCACAGTCACTGCTCCATTTACCCTGATGCTCTCCCTCTCCCCCGGCCGCAGATCCTAGAGTACAATGCCATCGGAGGCAAGTACAACCGGGGTTTGACGGTACTGGTAGCCTTCCGGGAGCTGGTGGAGCCAAGGAAGCAGGACGCTGACAGTCTGCAGCGGGCGCTGACCGTGGGCTGGTGTGTGGAGCTGGTGAGAAGCTGCTTCAAGTGGGGAGGACAGGGCGGGTGTCTCTGTCGGGTGCTACGGCCGGATATAGGCAGTGAATTACTTAAGGGCTGGTCACTCTTCTGCCAAAAGTGACAGAATTTGGCAGCCAGGTGTCATGTTTCTTCTTCTGAGCAGAGGTCAGCCATAAATTGTCATGCTCCTTCCAAAAGACTACTCTAAAGAAGGGCTGGGGATTTAGCTCAGTGGTGCTGCCTGCCTGCCTCGAAAGCACAAGGTCCTGAGTTTGATCCCTGGTACCCAAAATAAGATTATTCTAAAGCAGAAACCAAACACTGACAACCCACTGATAGTTTTTGAAAACGTTTAAGCCTAAATCCCCTAAATTTCACAGCACTGGGTGGGGCGGTATCCTCCTATAATCCCAGCTACCCCTGAAGCTGAGGCAGGAGGATTGCAAATTTGAGACTAGCTTGGGCAACTTCCTGTCTGAAAACAGAAAATAAAAAGGGTTGGAGATGTAGCTCTGCACTCCCTGGGTTCAGTTCCTGGTACTGCAAAACCAAACAAAAAACCCCCAGATTTTTGACATTAGTTAGAAAATTACAACATCTGGGTCTGTGTTTGTGTATAGCAGAGCTGGCTGAAGCCCAGTGGAGCTGCCTCCTGTGTCTCTGCTCTGATCCTGTCCTCACAGCTCCTTGTCTTCTCTCTGGCTCGGGGTGTACGGGTGCTGGCCTGGCCAAAATCCTGCACTAGGGGAGGAGCTCTGGATTCTTGTAATACATTTTTTTCTTGCAGTCCTGGGAGTGGAACTCTGGGCCTTTTAATCAAAGTATGTCCTTGAGCTGGGCGTGGTGGCGCATGCCTGTAATCCCAGCGCTGGGAAGGCTGAGGCAGGAGGATTGCTGTGAGTTCGAGACCAGCCTGGGCTACATAGTGAGTTCCAGGGCAGTCTCAACTACATAGTGAGACCCTGTCTCAAAAAGACAAAACAAAGTATGTCCTAAGCTCTCCCTGCCCCACCTATTTTTTGAGGAGGGTATTTGCACCCTTACTGTGATCATCCTGCAAAGTCAGCCATGGCTATGCATTGAGTTCAAGTTCAGTGTGGCCTGCATAGTGAGACCCTGTCTAAAAAAGATGGGGTTGAGCGTGGTGGTGCATACCTGTAATCCCAGCACTGCAGAGGCTGAGGCAGGAGGATCACCATGAGTTCAAGTCTGACCTGGGCTACAAAGTGAGACCCTGTCTCAAAAAAACAAAACAAAAAGAGACCAGCCCAAATTGTATAGGGAAACCTTGTCTCAAACGACAAAAATAAGAAACAAAAGAAAGGGGATGAGGGGGTGAAGGCTGGGGATGTAGCTGAGTGGCATTGTGACTGAGTTGTCTTCAAGTTAGAGTACCACGATAAATAAAGGAGAGGAGCTGAATGTGTACTCAATTGCAAAGCACTTGCCTAGTGTGTGAGGCCCTGGGTTCAATCTCTAATAATGACCAAAAAAAAAGTCAAGTTGTATAAAGAAATCTTTTTTAAAAATTTAATTTAATTTAATATTTTTGATTTTTTGAGTCTGGGTCATGCTGGTTTTGAGACAGTTCAGGCTGGCCTTGGTCTCACTATGTAGCCAGGCCTCAGCAGTCTTCCTGCCTCAGCCTCCCTAGTGCCGGAATTATAGGTGTGCACTACCACACCCGGCCCAAGAAGTGAATTTTTAAATTTTTTTTTTTAACTTTTTTTGTATGTTTGTGTATGTGTGTTTATTTAATTGTGACACTGGGGCTAGAACCCCAAGCACTTTCCTTTTTATTTTAAGGGTCTTGCTAAATTGCCTAGATTGGGCTCAAATTTGGAATCCCCATGCCTCAGCCTCCCAGAGTGCTGGGATTACAGGCATGTGACACTATGTCTGCCTTATTACTGGCTTCAATTGATGATGAAATATTTTTTTAAAGCATTCATTGTAGTTTTTGGCAAGTGTACCTTACGTGAAGGTGTTTTATCGTCTCGCTAGCACCGGGGACAATCTAAGACTGATTAGAAATTTCCCAGGCCAACCTGGGTACAACTCCCTCTTCCCCAACATAGGAGATGTCAGTGCAGTTTCCTCTGTTACCCTGGAAATAAGTGTTGTGGCACCGTCTTACAGATGGGGAGTCTGAGCCAACAGGGTTTGTCCCTTTTCAGGGTCTCCTGCCACTAAAGCCCTGGACCCCTGCACGCCAGCGGTCTTTCCCAACTCATGGTGTGCATCTGAGGCGCAGTGCAGGGCCTGGGTCCCTTTTTCTAGCTGCAGGCTTTCTTCCTGGTGGCAGATGACATCATGGATTCATCCCTTACCCGCCGGGGACAGGCCTGCTGGTATCGGAAGGTAATGTGGGGAGGTGATGGCGCACGGACTGGTGTTGGGGTCTGGGGTGAGCGTTCTAGGTAGGAATGAAAGCCAGAGAGGATGACTCGTTGCCTCCTCCCTACAGCCAGGCATAGGCTTGGACGCCGTCAACGACACTCTCCTCCTGGAGGCCTGTGTCTACCGCCTGCTGAAGCTGCACTGCCGGGAACAGCCCTACTACCTGAACCTGCTCGAGCTCTTCCTGCAGGTGTGATCCTGGCGCGAACAAGGGAGGGCGCCGGGCGCAGGTGGTGGCGAAGAGGCCGCGCCCTGTGTGATGGGAAGTGTGTACTGCGGCCCTCGTGCACACGGGCCCGCGGTGTGGGTCCTCCTGCTTGCTGTATGACTGCCCAGGGTGGCTCACGGCGTGTTCCTCGCCCTCAGACTTCCTACCAGACGGAGGTCGGGCAGACTCTGGACCTCATCACAGCCCCGCAGGGTCAGGTGGACCTGAGCAGATACACCGAGAAGAGGTGAACCTCGGGACGGGGCTGGCCCGCGAGGAGGGTGTGCGGTGGGTGCCGCCTGCTGAGGGGCTTTTCTGTTCCCTCTCCTCAGGTACAAGTCTATTGTCAAGTATAAGACAGCTTTCTACTCCTTCTATCTGCCTGTTGCTGCTGCCATGTACATGGTGAGTCAGCCCCCAGCCCTCACTGGCCCACACAGGGCATGGAGTACCTAACTTGGACAGTCGCCTGCCCCACCAAATGGCTCTGCAACCTTGAGCCAAGCCGCTTAGTTGATTAGGTTTTGTTTTGTTTTTTGGTTTCTATGATTTTTTTTTTTTTTGGTACCGGGGATCAAACTCAGGTCCTTGCACTTGAAAGGCAGGCCATGGAACCACTGAGCTAAATCCCCGGCCCTTTGTTTTGTTTTTTGAGGCAGGGTCTCATTGTGTAGTTGAGACTGACCTGGAACTATGTAGCCTAGGCTGGTCTCCAACTCACAGAGATCCTCCTGCCTCAGCCTCCCAAATGCTGCGACTATAGGCGTGCACCACCACGCCCGGCAAGTTTTGTTTTGTTTTTGTCCTTTTGAGACAGGGTCTCATTGCAGTTCAGGCTGGCTTTGAACTCACTATATATAGCACAGGTACAGTGACCCTCCTGCCTCAGCCTTCTAAGTGCTGGGATTACAGATGTGCACCATCACACCTGGCTTTGTCTTTCTCCTCAGCTGTAAGATTGGGATCAAATTCCTGCCTCACAGGACTGTAAAGATGAGCTTGGCACGTGAAAGCTGATAGATCCTGCACATGAGTATGGCCAGGAGTGAGGAGGAGATAATTCTGAGAGGGAGAAGATTGGATTCCAATGCTGTCAGTGGCATTAACTTTCTTTTTATCCAGAAAGGCACTGGAGGTGACAGAAAGATTAGGATGAAGAGTCAGGGTGACTGAGACTGCCAAGGGCCTCCAGAATGGGCTCACAGAAACCCACTCCAGATGGAGGCATTCCCAGAAGGCCAGCTGAGAGTAGTGCGAGAGGTTGGCCTGTTGGTCAGGACTTCCAGGATGGGGTCAGCAAGGGTGCCTGACAGGAGAGATCCTTGGGGGCTGCAGTTGGGCGGGACCCTCCTGAAGGCGGCGGGGATATGAGGGCTGTGTGGCGCGTGCTCCCTTCCCTGCAGGCTGGCATTGACGGGGAGAAGGAGCACAGCAGCGCCAGGAGGATCCTGATGGAGATGGGCGAGTTCTTCCAGATCCAGGTGCGAAGGCCGACCAGGCGCGGCGGGTGGCGCGGGCAGTGCTGTCCTCCTGCCCTGCCTGGAGTCCTCATCCTTCCTGTGCTGCGCCCCCCAGGATGACTTCCTTGACCTTTTTGGGGACCCCAGTGTGACAGGGAAGATTGGCACCGACATCCAGGACAATAAGTGCAGCTGGCTGGTGGTTCAGTGCCTGCAGCGGGCCACTCCGGAGCAGCGCCAGATCCTGCAGGTGATGAAAGGGGTAGAGCAATGGTTCTCTGGGCCCGGCGTCTGCCAGTGACAACAGATAGTTTCTGACATCGTGACGGTGAATGCGTGTGCCAAATCAAAGCCAGACCACACCCCGAACAGCTCCCAGACAATGACCTGGCCCAGACTTCCCGCGCTGCGGAGGCTCAGGACCCCTAGACTGGCAGGTGGGCCGAGCCTTGGGGTGGGGGAGCAGGATCTGCGAGGCCAGCGAGGCACCTGGAAATGGTAGTGGAGGCGCGCCGAAGTCCCGGAGGCCCGGGGAAGCCGAGCCCATTTTCCTGCTCTTTCCAGGACAATTACGGGCAGAAAGACGCCGAGAAGGTGGCGAGGGTGAAGGCGCTGTACGAGGAGCTGGACCTGCCGGCCGCGTTCCTGCGGTACGAGGACGACAGCTACAGCCGCCTCATGAGCCTCATCCAGCAGCACGCCGCACCGCTGCCCCCGGCCATCTTCCTGGGGCTGGCGAACAAGATCTACAAGCGGAACAAGTGACCCGAGACCACGCGGGGTGGGGGGGCG